TCTTCACGCTTAGTGTGGTTCAACAGAGGTCTCAGTAGATTTAACATTCCGCAAGCCTGTTCAATTTTCGTATTAATATGTCTAGTGAAGCTGAGTCTATGTTCCAAGGTCACACCAAGGTATTTGACATACTTGGACCACTCAACCTCTCTGCCCATTACTTTCAGTTTTTCCAAGTCAGTGAGTCTAGTCATGGCATTTCGGCTCTTTGTAAATAAAATTGCCTCCGTCTTTTGCGGATTGATCTTAATTTGCCATTTGTCAGTATATTCGGTTAGCTTGTCTATGTGTGTCTGCAAGACCAATCCAATTTCGTAAACAAAAAAAAATCAATATGTTTACTGTCCGGCGCTAAGAGACGACTCAGCGTTTCTAGGCGTTAGGGGACAAACATTTTCGTTCAGAGATATTTTACGCTATCTTCTACGTGGATTTCCTCTCCATTCAACTTAATTGTGGAGCGTGAACGTGATATGCGTAGATTTTGCACTATTTGTCATAATTCTCCATAAAGAAAGCCATTTTGTAGCAATATCTAGATGCTCTTGTAATAGATGCGAAGCTATTACGGAATCTTCATTGGAGGCAATAATGCATGTATCGTCAGCAAATGTAGATAATGGTAGTTGGGCAGAAGATATGCTAAAGGTCAGAAGTATTGGATAATGATGAATGAAAGATCGTAACTAGATTCAATGTTAAGATTTGAATGATCAATACCTCTCATAAAGAAAAAATCTAAAGGGTCTGAAACTTTAACTAGGTCAATACGTTGGACTACATGTTGAAATGAAGGTGAGATTATATTATTCTATGGCTGCATCAAGTACCTTACCTTTAGTTGTAGTCAGTCTAGAAACCCAGGCATTATGTTTACAATTAAAGTCGCCACCAATGATAAAGGGCGTGGGCGCATTGCCCTACAGAATTGGCCCTACCCTGGTATTTAAATAACTTTTACGCCATTTCAAAGATCTTTTTGAAAAAAACGATATACTAATTTTCAACTTTGTATCTCATCTTATGGCCTAGATATCATAGAAAATATACCAAAGTGGCCTCTTCTTTCAAACTTACCTTTCAGCGTAACCATAAAAGAGATAATTTACGTAATTCTACTAACATTTGCTTAGATCACATTATGTAGATTTATTGTGACCTACCTTTATCAGTACTACAATAATAAAAAGAATATAACAAATAATGATCTGAAATTATTACTGAATATATTCTAATGATCATTATTTTGATAATACAAAACGTCTTAGTTAATTTATTTTGAACTATTTGGTATTGGTATTTAGCAAGTTACATGAACTTCCCGATATGCGTAAATAATCGACTTGATCAATAATAAACAAATTAATTTACGAGTGATTAGAAGTATTCCGAATAGATTTATCTTATATATAAAAATGGATCGCAAAATGTGTTGGTAAGCGCATAACTCAACAACGCCTGGACCAATTTGGCCAATTCTGTTTTTAAAATGTTCGTTGAAGTCCAAGGATGGTTGTTACGGCGAGAAAAAAATGAATAATTGCCGGGAAAACCCTAAAAACAGCCCCTTTCTTCTTTAATCGAGTAGGCAACGCAATTTGTAAAAAAACAATGATCGATGTCATGACATTTTGTGTAGTTTTTGATAATCTAATTTTGAATATATTTATATAAACATAGAAATATCTTTCTATTAATCAAGCTATATTGGCAGCCAAAAACATTAATGTAAATGAATTAAATTTCAAAATTCAAGAACAAATTACAGGCGAATCAGTTGATTCGGCAACTAACCAAGACGATCCGCCGGAGTTTTTAAACTCGCTGGATTTGCTAGGATTGTCACCTCACAATCTTCAATTAAAGGTTGGATCGGCAATTATAATGTTGCAAAATATCGACCAACTATATTCAAAGGATAGTATAAAGCAGAAGATGTTCTCGCACCATGCATCCCAATGCGTTTCCAGTGCGTTTATGGTATTATTAAGTGTTTGTGGTATTAATTTAGAAAACCCATGTTTCTCACATGGAAAATTGTATGTAGTTTGTTCCCGTATTGGAAAACCATCAGATTTGTTTGTCTATGCGCCAGTAGGTAATCAAACAAAAAACATCGTTTATCACAAAGCACTACAATGAAAATTGAACTGATTTTTGAATTATGATTTACATTATTAAAATTACTTACTTTTAAATGCTTATAGTGTTTTATTTAATTATTTTTAATTCACAGGGAATTATTACCAGGGTGACGGTTCTGTTCAGGATAATTTTTGGCAAAGAATAGAAAAAAAGTAGGCACAAAACACCGTCACATTACAATTTTTTTTTTGACAGGACGAAGTCTGTCGGGCCGGCTAGTTACACATAATTGAAAACGAACGAAAACGTTAACTCGGAGTATTTTCTAAAAGCAACTTTTTATAAATCAATAATTTTTATAATTGAACCAGTTTTCGTAGGACGTTAATGGTTTAGTGTGTTCATTAAGACCAATTAATCTATCGTTATACAAAGTAAATCATCTAATTTTAATTTTAACAAACGTCAAAAAATTACTCATTTTCTTAATCTTTGATGAATTTTTAAAATTAAACTTGTCGTAAAGCCGTAATATTTCAGTAAGTTCTATAAGACCATGATATATATCGCCACAAAATGTTTCATAAAAATCGGTTATAATTTTTTCTTCAACAGTTATTTACAAGAAAACGGCTCGGTATATTTTCACTTTAAACTAATCAGTATCATTCCGAACTAATATCTTTCGAACAGTTTTTGATTTTTTAAAATCGATTTGGTGGAATAAATGTGGACGAAAAAGTTCAACACTTTTTTTCAAATTACAAAGAAACGGCTCAGCAGATCGTCTCACAAAACTGACAAACTCTAATGCTCATTGAGATACATCGAATGGCTTTTAAATTTCTGAAGTCGGTTCAGGCGTTATTCAGTAAACGTCGATGAAAGGTCTAATTTTGACAAACGCCAAAAAAACGATACCAATTTTTGCAAACTTTGACGAATTTTTAAAGCTAAACGAATTGTCGTAGGACGGTAATATTTTAGTATGGTCTAGAAGACTATGGTATATACCGCAAAAAAATCATAAAAATCGTCGAATTTTTTTTTTTTTAAATTTTATTACAAGAAAACGGCTCTGAAATGTACCTATATATTGGTATTTAGCCTTGAGGCAAGTTACATGAACTTTCCGATATGTGTAAATAAATCTAAGTCGATTCCGTGTGGATTTATTACAAATTACAAAATAACGGCTAGGTCGATCGTCGCACAAAACTGAGAAACGATAATCCTCATCGAGATACATAAAATGCTTTTTAAATATCTGAAATCGGTTCAGGAGTTTTTGAGCAAACGTCGATGAAATTTCTAATTTTGACAAATTCCAAAAAGACCATACTAATTTTTGCAAACTTTGACGAATTTTTCAAGCTAAACCAGTTGTCGTAGGGCCGTAATATTTTAGTATGATCTAGAACATGGCTTCTTAAAGTGGGGGTCGCGACGCGATACTACTAATAAGGGGTTGCAAAGATATGATATATATGTTTATGTTAAAAAATAAACTTGAGGCCTTTGTTAAAATAATTCTTAAAACTAAAATAAAAACAGAGTAAAAAGTGGATCGCTCGAAATGTTTCCATTTACTGACGAGTATATAATTAGTAACAATATTTCGAAAAAAGATACTCCTATAACAAAAATTATAGTTCTTCATTTGAAGAATATGGAAGTTTATATGCATAGATATTTTCTCAATGATATCGATACACAACAATGGATTTGCAATCCATTTTCAATTGAAATGGAAGAAATTAATTTTTCAACTTAAAAAGCACAAGAAGAATTTACCGAATTAACAAGTGATACTACCTTGCGACTCAGATTTTTTCAAGTGCATGAATTTTGGATTGAAATCAAATCAGAATATTCCCTACTATCGGAAATGGCAATAAACAAATTGCTGCCATTTTGTGCAACATATTTATGTGAATCAGCCTCTTCTATTAACTTACATAAAATCAAAATACCGTTCAACTTTAATATACGTTGAAAATTTATTACGATCTGCACTAACTTAAATTGAGCCTAGATTTAATTATTTGTGTAAAAATAAACAATCACATTCATCACATTAATATTGTTTGATGTTAATAATTATTAACTATTAATAGGTTTTCATTAAAAAATGTTATAAAATTTTATTTTTTCTGTTGAATATGTAGATATAGTTTTATGTTTTCTTATAAAGAATTTGTTACAAAAGTTTATTTTATATATATATATATATATATATATATATATATATATACAGGGCCGGTCCTGCCTTGCATGCGATGCATGCAAAAAATGCGGGCGCACGCCTTAGGGGGCGCCAAAACGAGTTTTGGAAATTAAATTTATAATATAATATTCACATTTTTTTAATATAAAATTTAGAATACTTAATAGATTATAATAAAAAAACTAACTTAATGGATACGTAGACACAAAAAGCATATTCAGTTTGCAATGTGATATCAGTAGAAACAATTTATTACTCTGCAAATTAGTAAATTATTTTTCTGCTTACTGTTTAATGTACTTATTAAATTTTTCTCATTTGAAGTTAATGTGGATTCGAAAAAGAAATTGTCTAGTGTTCAAACCCATAAGCACAAACCTACGAAAGTTTAAATTATTGGGCATTATTGAAGAAAAACTACGAGCTGATTTAGTTTGAACGAAACTTGTTTCAACAATAGATACAAATTATAATAGAAAAACATGGAAAAGTAACTTTTGTTTTTGTTGAAAATGAACTTTGAACGTTGAAGACATACGTGGTTAGATTTATAGAAATGGAGCAAATATGAAAAATGAAAGCAAAATGTACTATAGCACATGTGCTATGGCAAATGTGCGCCGAGTGAAGCACTAGCTTTGCTTGCGACCGCTGCGCCCTGTAAATGTGGAGGATTCGTGGTCACAGTTATAGTTATGTGACAGCTTAGATATTTTATTATCTATGCCCATTCATACTCTCCGATATTTCTCAAAAACAATAATATGCTACATCATAATTGTTTGCAGAAATTTATATACTCATCATCCTAGGCAATATCATAATTTATATCATGGCTTTCGAACAGCAAACTTTAGTGACATTACATAGCAAAATTTTTCACCCTGTTCTAAGAGAATTACAGGAAGATAATGTATCTATTAATCCACGTAATTTTATGTACCCAATATTTCTTGTGTACGTGTAATCTACATTGAATGATACTTAATAGTTTTATCTAGCTAATGATATCTATCGATACAGATTGGTAGACTGATACAGACAGGTGATCATTAATTTTGAATTTTTCAGTGAAGATGATCATGCCATTCAGAAGATTTCTAGTATGCCAGGTGTATGCCGATTTGGTATATATGAATTGAGAAAACATTTAGAGCCTCTGGTGGCGAAAGGGTTATCATCTATTTTATTATTTGGTGTGCCTGAATCTGCATCTAAAGTAAAAACAAAATTGCATTTTTTAATGTGTCCAGTAGCTCTTAACATGTAAAATTAATAACAGGATAGCAAAGCTTCAGCTGCTAATAATGAAAGTAATCCAGTAATTCGTGCAATACCTTTACTTAAAGACTGGTTTCCCAAGCTATTAATTGCTTGTGATGTATGTATGTGCCCCTATACAGATCATGGTCATTGTGGCATTATAAATGAAAAATTAGGAGGAATAGACAATGATCTTAGCAGTGCAAGAATTGCTGAAATTGCTTTATCATATGCTAAAGCAGGTAAAAATTGTTTTGTTCGCAAAAAATTGAATTTATTATATAATAAAACAATTTTAGGTGCACATATTGTAGCTCCATCGGATATGATGGATAATCGTATTCATATGATAAAGAAGAAACTTAAAGAAAATAATCTATCAGGTTCTGTAAATATACTGTCTTATTCAGCTAAGTTTGCTTCCTCTTTTTATGGACCTTTTAGAGATGCTGCACAATCAAAACCAGCTTTTGGTGATCGAAAATGTTATCAGTTACCCCCTGGATCAAGAGGCTTGGCAGTGCAAGCAATTGTACATACAATTATTATTAAAACGGTTTTAAAATGAATGTTCTATGCAGAGAGTTCTTTCATAATTTAATACTTTAACACCTTGAAGACCACACCGGAAATTGTGCTTTTCTCCTGGAGACCGCATTAAAAATGGTCTATTCCAGATAACACATATTGTGTGTCCACCGGTGAGCAAGCAATCCTGTCTTGTTAGTACATTGTGCACCATCGGCAAACATGTGGTCTTCTACGTGTTAAATTTATTGTAGATCATAATTTAGAAAAAAGCAAATTTAACAGTCAGATTTATAAGTTATGTTATAGAATGTTTTGAATTTTACAGCAAAGGGACGTGAATGAAGGAGCCGATATGCTGATGGTTAAACCAGGGTTGCCATACTTAGATGTCCTGCGAGATGTTAAAAATAACTTTCCAAATCATATGCTCTTTGTTTATCAGGTGGGTGGATAACACAGTGGTTAACTTTTCCTGAAGAGATAATAAATTTATAAATCTTTAAGACAACCATTCATAAAAATATAGTTAATAAACAAACTATATATTCTTATTTTTAGTGCATTTCAAATTTATTTTGCTACAAATAAAATTACGGTAACATTAGAAATAAAATGTTTTAATTGTATTCATTATGAAATAAATATGTTATTTAAAAATTTGTAAAAAAAACACAAGACATAAATAAATAAATCTCTTACAAGATTTTTGTTAAATAGGTGTCAGGAGAATATTCAATGTTATTAAGTTCAGTGAATGGGGATACCAGCAAATTGAAACCCATATTAATGGAAGTTTTGATATCTATGAGAAGAGCAGGTAAGTAAGATCTTCGATTTCTTTTGAAATCAATTCGTAAACTTACAATTCCTTATTTTGTTTTTTTTTAAGGTGCGGATTGTATTATTACATACTTTACCCCGCTGTTATTAGATTGGCTATTACACAAATCCAAACTGTGATAAGAATCTGAGAAATTATAGTTATTAGTTGGTTTAATAGCAATTGTTTTATTGGAGAATTTTTATTAAATAAAAATTGTGATTGGAATTCAATGTATTTCAATTCATTTTAATTATACACAAATTCAATCAAAATTGTGTTCAACTTAGTATGAATTTTTAATTATTTGCATAATTCACTTAGTCACAACAATATAGCTGTAATTGTAATGAATGTGTGTAGATATTGCACTAACTAATTGTAATGTTTAAAATTATTTGTTCTAATTATCAAATATATAACAACAGTCCACCACATTAGCTAAATCACTAAATAGTTCCTCTCTATGATAGTGTGTTAAATTTCTAAGTATGTACATAAATTCAAAATGAAGTGTCACACAAAAAGAGAAGATAGATACAAAATAATTTGAAAAATTGTGAAAAAATATGCTCGTATATAGGATAATTATGTCAAATTCTCACATGTTGAGAGTATATACAGAACCTTTGCATACAAAAACATTTAAACTGAAATGTTATAATTTAAAATATGGAAACCTAAATTAGCATTATGTGTTATAATATATGTGTATCGAGCGACTTGTAACGAATAATACATAATGCTAATTTAGGTTTCCATATTTTAAATTTTAAATTATAACACACTGATGATGAGACAAACCTAGTCTCAAAACGTTTGTGAAAATTATTATTTAATAAATTAGTGCAAAAAAGAGTGTTGTTTGTTCATATTTCCAAATTAATATCTATTATCCACTGAGAATACATTTGTTTGAACAATAAATAATGATCTATTTATTTATACGTTTCGACATGGTATATGTCATTATTCAGCAATTTTTTTAATATTGCTGAATGATGACACACATACCATGTTTCTCTCATAGTAGTAGTTTTGTTTATATTGATTGTGATTTTGGTCATTTTTGATTTTAAAATAATTCTATTTTCTCATAAGTGAGTGTCAGTTTTGATTGACATAAATAATTTGATGCTAAAGTCTAAATATAAAAATTCTAAATACGTGGTAACCATTATCCTGAACATATGTCACAAAATATATATTTTTTAAAACACCTGTCATGTTATTTTGTCAGAACTCTTAACAACAGTAAATGATAATTATATCGAATATAAAAATCAACACCCCAACAGTTTGAAAGCCACTGAGAAATAAATTTATTATTAACAAGGTAGTAGTTATTCAGTGACTTGAATTTTGTGGCTTTTTGTGGAATCAGTTTCGATCTGTGCCTACGGATGCATTACCAAATTCGACAAGATGATTTCAAAAATATAAAGCGAATTTTCAAGCAAAAATTGACGAAAAACTTGGTATTATTGTGTAATCTTTCAAAAATTTCTCGAAAGAAAATTTTCAATTTTGCCCCACTGTTGGTGCTTATAAATGTGGACCAATCACAGCAAGCCAACTATGTAAATTTCAACCAATCACAATACACCACGCATGTGAATAAAACCGTAATAATTCGTGCTCTAAGCGGTTCAGAAGCATTTAATAAATGTTCGTCGTGTCGCACGTCAAGTTAAATTGTGTCAAATTTTTAAAATAAGGTTTTCTGAGAGAAAAGTTTTAATATATCCTCAATACAGTAGATCATACACAAGTATCATTAAGTGAAAATATTAGTAAAGGTAATTTGAAATTATATCATTATTGATTAAGTGTGATGTCGATGTTCCGCATTTTCAATTGAATTAATTTAACCTTAATATCGTGTTTCAGCCAGTGCATAATTTTATTGTGAATAACATTGACACATATTGTTTTCTCTCACTATTATTGATTTTTATTTATAATTATGTCTTCTAGTTACTATACTTCTATATCCCATTTTAAAATTAATCATGTTCCGTTATAACACGTAGTTCAGTCTAATTATTTGTGCTTTATTAAGTTCTTATCGATTCTAACAAATTGCAAGTGATTTTGGAGTTCCTACAAACGCAATCCACAGCTGCTGACGTGTACGAACTTTTCTAATAACTGTATCAATAAATTATTTTCAATAACATTCTTAATATCTTTATCTTTATTCTTTAACTTTATCAATTTCATTTAATTGAAATTTGTGTCAATTTATTAAACAGGTTATAATAAGAAGGATGAGGTTGTGTTTACAGACATTATGTCTGGCTCTCCTGGCACTGGCCATGGCCAGTGAGGATAAATCTGCCGATAAAGATATTGGAACTGTTGTTGGAATTGATTTAGGAACTACGTATTCATGGTATGTATAAGGCCTATTTTATATAACTATATTATATATAATATATATATATATATATATATATATATATATATATATATATAATATGGATTAATAAATCAACTATGAAATATGAATAAACAGCTCTTTTTTGCATTATTTAATATGTTTTACAAATGTTTTTAATCTTAGTTTGTGTCATCAACGTAATAATTTTATATTTAATATGAAACAGACTTAAAAGTCTGTATCTGATGCATGACTTATGACTTACTGATAGCAAACACCCACCTCAGTGGTTATTACCATAAGA